TGTGTTGTCTCGTATTTTGTTGAGTGTTTTTATGGTAGCTATTTTGAAATCTCTGTCGTTTAGATTATGGATTTCTTTGTCTTCAGGGTTGGTTTCTGGGTGCTTGTCATTTTCCTTCTGGTCTGGTGATTTCATGTACTTTGCATTGTGGTTCCTGTGTTGGCTTTGTTTTTCCTCATCCTGGAAATCTCTGTTTGCAATTTCCACCCGCCACCACTGTGTGGTGGTAAAGGGCTGTGTAATCTAAGCCCCCTGCCCTCTGCCATGTTTTCCGCTGCGATATGCGGGTAGGATCGCTTGATCTGGTCTGCCGGTAGGATCACTTGGTCTGGTCTGCCGCAAATCACTTGGGCTGGTCTGGTTGGCTGAGCTGCAGGGTCTGGTTTGCGGGGGGGGGGGGTCTCTCTCTTTTGCCCTCTGGGGTCCCTGGCGTGGGGGGCTTCTCATTTGCCCTTCGTTTTCCCCTTGTTATCCGCTCTCTGGGGTGCTCAGATGTTGATGGTAGCCCTGTGGCTCTTCTGAGCCCTCTGTGTGCGAGTTTCCCACTGGCTGAGAGAGCGCGAAGAGTTACGGTTTCCCCGCAGAGAACCGCCCCTCCCCCATCTCTGGGAGCCGGGCAGACCGGGATCGCTGATCTGATGGGGAGGGAGAGGAGTTCTCACCTCTCCCTACTTCCTCCAGGGGCCCAGCACGTTCCAATCTCAGATGTGCAGCAGCATGGATCTTTCCGATCTAGCTTTTCACTGTCTGGGATTCCGTTGTTGTTTTGTGACTGTTCCTTTTGTTGTATCTTATCGGGGGAAGAGTTCATGGGAAAACTCACTCCACCATAACGCTGACGTCACTCCTCTCTAATACGTTTTTAATGACAGTGTAATGTTGCACTGTATGGGTTGTCTGTAATTTATTTAACCAGGCCTCTGTTGTTGAACATGGAAGATATCTTTTGATCTGTATAACAAATAATATGCCAGTGTGTTTTTATCAGTGCAAGGAAACCGTGTAGTTCATTGAGCATATCCAGTGTTTAAAATAGGCAAAGTACCTCTTATATATAGGTGAAAACAGGTGTGCAACTGTTGGGTGTAAAGATACTTGTAACCCCCATTTACTTCCTATTGAGAGCTTCCTTCCCTGGCATCTCTCCCAGGTCGAAATATTTTGGGCAGCTTTACTTGAAGCTAGTTGTCCCTCTCCTATTCCTTTCTCACTTCTTGGCTCTCCTTCTTACCTTTTTTTTTTTTTTCCTTAATCAGCTTCTTAGCTGATTTGGTCTATTCCTGAACCAAAAAGATTGCTTTATGTGAAGTAAATTAGCCTTTAAGTCCATTATATCACCTCTTTCTTTATTTGACAGATACAGAAAATTGAAGGATTAATATCATACCGAGACCCTCATTTTTGGCGTCATTCTGCCAGTGTTGTGGCAGGAACAATTCACATACAGGTGACATCCGATGTGCTGGAACAACGAATAGTACAGCAGGTAATAAATCTTTTGTTTTTAAAGTAATTTCAGTTGAGGTAATTCATGCATAAAATTGCACACATTATAAGTTATACAGCTCAATAGTCATTTAACTATTCAAAAATATCAATCTTTCAGCTGTCCAAGGATAATGTAACTTATTTTTTACATGTAGATTTGTTTTATATCCAAAAATGATTAAAATAAAATCAAGTTTTAGTATTTACAGGACAAGTTTATGTAAAAAAAATTCATTTATGATTCACCTTAGTTTCCAATAGATTATCCAGAAATGTTATTATAAATATAGCCCTAAATTAATAATAAGAACAATACAATTGGCAGGGTATATGCTATGGTTGGAGATAAGGATCAAAATAGTTCCTGTAGCTCTATCCTAGGCATACCAAATTGGAAACAATAGCTGTTTCCCTTTTCTACTTTGAATGTCAGGTCAGTAATTTACTGGCCTTCTAAAACATCCTATCTAACGTTTGACCAACTAAATAATAAACATTACTTTGTGGATTTACCTTTGACTATCTGTAGCTATAAAAAAATGTGATATCAATCATTTAAGACATATGCACTAAAGGCATTAAAATGTATGGATTTTTGTAACAGGTTACAGGAATACTTAAAGATGCTGGAGTAAACAATTTAACAATTCAAGTGGAAAAAGAGGCATACTTTCAACATATGTCTGGCCTAAGTACTGGATTCCATGATGTTCTGGCTATGACAAAACAAATGGAGTCCATGAAATACTACAGAGATGGTACTTATATCATGTGAGATGACTCGAGAATTACCCCTGGAGTATGAAACAATGAAGATTAAATGACTCAGTATTTATAATATTGCCAGAAAGAAAAAAATTGCACATAATTGTACAGAAACATTTTGCCATGTTTGAAAAAAAATTTTAAACCTTCTTACTATTGGATCAAGGAATCTTTGTTAAAGGAAATTTAAATACAGAATGAAGCATTAATTGTACAAGTAAAGTAATTATTTGAATTATAACAGGAATCTTAAAATTTGAGTGAATATGATGTATCATATCATCTTCAAAAATGAACATATAATGATGGATTCTAGTCAAGATCAAAATTACTTCTGTGTGTTTACTTTCTGTCAGAAAGGATCTCCGTTGTAAATAATGTATTTACATGTTTATTACAAAGACCCAATTGAAAAATTTTTAGTCAATTTTTTGCATAGCCCTAGGATAAAATAGGAATAAAAATTCTATATTTATGGATTTTATGTATATAAAACTGGTTTCTAATTATAACTTAAATCCATTAAGTAAAAGCTGTATTGCCACTTTAAATGTAAACTAAATTATTTGGGAGAAACTTCAACCACTGAGATGAGACAAGCAGTGAGAATAGGGAAGTATAACATTACAGTTTTTGATGTATTACAAAAACCAACCACTGTGTAAAATAAATTTTTTTACTTTTGGTAATATTTGCAAATGAATAATTACTTTATTAGGGTAAAGAACTTATACTAAGTTGTGTGCATGTTACTCAATCACTTGTCTTCTTCCTCTAACGTAGAATATTCTATTTGTTGTTAGGCATCAGGCATTTCAAGTTGCATATCAAGCTGGTATCCAAGCAATGCTAGGCTTTCCATCTTTTCATTTTTTAGCTCCCTGTGTTGTGGAGCAGCCGGTTGAGAGAATCATAAATAACTGTTAACTCAAAGTTGAATTTTCTTCCTAGAGATGTAACTTTTTTTTTTTTTTTTTAATTTCTGGAACATGTAGATATATAAGAAATATCAAAGAATAGGTAGTTATTTTAAAGTTTAGTAAGTAAATCTTGTCCATAAACACTTGGGCACCATGAAATCAAAATACCCTATAAGTACTTCCTATAGTAATATCTAGTTTATACTTTTTCATTTCCAATTTAAGCTGAAGGTGTAGGGCCAGCCCCGTGGCTTGGCGGTTAAGTGCGCACGCTCTGCTGCTGGCGGCCCAGGTTCAGATCCTGGGCGTACACCGACGCACCGCTTCTCTGGCCATGCTGAGGCCACGTCCCACATACAGAAACTAGAAGGATATGCACCTGTGACATACAACTGTCTACTGGGGCTTTGGAGGAAAAAATAATTAATTAATAAATTAAACTGTGTAGTCTGAAAAGACTATGATATATAGATATATAATAATATATGCAGTTTTATGAACACCAAAGAATGTTGTTCAAAAGAAATTTTTGAATACCCGTCTACTTATAAGCATCTGAATATTTTCATTCTTATACTAGGAATTTTGATAAGTAGGATGAATTAATTTTAGTATGGGTACTATTTTCTTATCTATACCGTAATGGCAAACATGTATTGTAAATCATATTTTTATCTTACCAACTTTCATGTGTGAGAGGTTTTAGAAATTTGTTATAAGTTATTTTGGTATTCCTTGTCTTCTGTTTATACATTTTCTGGTCCAGAATCTACATGTTAAAATTTTTGAGTGGTGGGAAAATAATTGCATATTGATATTTTAATGCAATTTTTATAAATTAAAAGTTTTTTTAAGTAGATAGGTACAGTAAAGATTATACCATTATTAAAATTATTTCCCTGAGAAGGCATATAGGCCCAGTCCCATGGCTTAGCGGTCCCGTGGGACTTTGGGGGAAAATATAAATAAATAAATAAAATTACTGGGAAAAAAAAAAAAGGGCCAGCCCTGTGGCTTAGCGGTTAAGTGCGCGCGCTCCGCTGCTGGCGGCCCGGGTTCAGATCCCGGGCGTGCACCGACGCACCGCTTCTCCGGCCATGCTGAGGTCGCGTCCCACATACAGCAACTAGAAGGATGTGCAGCTATGACATACAACTATCTAGTGGGGCTTTGGGGTGGGGGGGGAGGCATACAAATAGCAGAAAAATTAATGTGATTGAGAGCTATCAAGGTGAGAAAGAGGGCAGCGGCTGAAGGGTAAGGGGATGTAGGTAGAAAGTAGGAAGACTCCATGGGCCGGCCCTGTGGCTTGGTGGTTAAGTGCGCGCGCTGCGATGCTGGCGGCCCGGGTTCGGATCCCGGGTGCGCATCGAGGCACCACTTCTCCGTTCATCCTGAGGCCGAGTCCCACATACAGCAACTAGAAGGATGTGCAGCTACGACACACAACTATCCACTGGGGCTTTGGGGGGAAAAAATAAAATAAATAAAATCTTTAAAAAAAAAAAAAAAAAAGAAAGTAGGAAGACTCCAGTATTGAGAGCAACTGGGTACTGGTTCCAGCTCATTTAAACCATGTGACTGGGGCCAGCCCAGTGGCGTAGTGGTTAAGTTCGTGTGCTCTGCTTCAGTGGCTTGGGGTTTGCAGGTTTGGATCCTGGGCGCAGACCTACACACTGCTCATCAAGCCATACTGTGGCAGCAACCCACATACAAAACAGAGGAAGATGGGCACAGATGTTAGCTCAGGGCCAATCTTCCTCACCAAAAAAAAAAACCCATGTGACTTCAGGCAAATCAGCCTCTCTTGATATCTTTTTTTCCCCTCATACATAAAATCAGAATAAAAACTGCTCAAATTCACGGGGTTATGAGGAGCAAAAGGAATAATGTATGTGAAAATGAATCGAAAGTTGAAAAGGGCTAAGTAAAGTTGAGGAATTATTATTTTAAACCTGACTTCAAAGGTAGCTTTCATTAATTTATCTCTTTTTTCTATTTAAATCAGCTTCCTAAGAGATTAATTAGATGTTACGTGTACAAATAAGTTTAAAACAATACCCAAACAGAAGCCTGTTGAACAGTTTATTTGCCCCAAGAAGGGTGGTGGTGGTTGTTTACTACACCTATTAATCTCTCTCCTTCCTTTTCTCTCCAACCATTGTTTTCCCTAATCACCAGTTTGGGAGCTCATGATCTTCACTTAGAATAAACTTTACATCTTTTATAATATAGATTTATTGTGCCTTTTACATAATAATTGATGAAACTTTAAACTTGTCTAAGCAGAAGAATAATGAAGCTATATATACATATCTCTAACTAAAGGATTCTGGTTTTACTTTAAATTTAGATTATGATTCTCCCCTAAAATATCTACTATATTAATGCAGAGATGCATGTTTTTACTAATTAATGGTCACATGGTCCAAAATTCAAGAGTAAATGGCAAAAAGCCTCCCACCTCTCTCACTCAGATACACAGCTTTCCTCTCTAGAAGTTACCACACTTGTCAGTTTCTAGTATATTCTTCCAGATATTTTATGAATATACAAGGAAATACATGTATGTATTATTTTCCACTTAGAAATTATTCTACGCTTGAAATATTAACAAGCATCCTCATTCTTTTTCTTAGCTGCTTTAGTAATCCTATTGATGGATTTTTTAGGTTGGTTCCAATCTTTTGCTATTGTAGACTATGCTAACATGAACAGCCTTGTATAAACATCATTTTGCATATGTGCAAATAAATAGACTAAATTCCGACAAGCAGAATTTTAGAATCAAAGGGTTTAGGGCATTTATAAATCTAAAAAATATTGCTAAATTGAACTCCATAGAGATTGTAACAATTTACCCTCCCATCAGCAATGTTAGATGTCTTTTTTGGTTGTTTGTTTTTGGTTGTTTTTTGTTTGTTGCTGAGGAAGATTCACCCTGAGCTAACATCCGCTGCCAATCTTCCTCTTTTTATGTGAGCCATCACCACAGTATGGTCACTGACAGATGAGTGGTGTAGGTAGGTCTGCGCCCAGGAACCAAACCCGGCCTTCCGAAGCAGAGCGTGCTGATCTTAACCACTAGGCCACCAGGGCTGTCCCTAGATGTCTTAAAATAGAAATTTTAAGGCAAATATTTCTAATAGCCTTAATTTGTATGCAAGTTAAATATGCAAAGAGAGTATATATAGATGCCAAACTGAGATGAATTATAAAACCACTAATGTTCATTTTTAGAGTGATTTTACAGAAGGAAAATTTTCTAGTAAATAGTAATATATAATACCATTAAAATGGTAAAATTGGATTTTTTAATCAAATTTTTTTGTCTTGCTCCTTCTATCCACAGCACAGTTTATGACACAGATGCTCACAGATGGTTATTATATTTTGTGCATATACAAACATGGTGTTCTGTTACATTTTTTTCTTTTCTATTTATTGAGGTATACTTAGCATACAATAAAATACACAGGGCCGGTCCCGTGGCTTAGCGGTTAAGTGCACGCACTCTGCTGCTGGCGACCCAGGTTCGGCTCCTGTGCGCGCACCGACGCACTGCTTCTCTGGCCATGCTGAGGCTGCGTCCCACATACAGCAACTAGAAGGATGTGCAGCTATGACATACAACTATCTACTGGGCTATGACATACAACTATCTACTGGGGCTTTGGGGGAATAAATAAATAAATAAATAAATAAATAAATAAATAAATAAATAAATAAATAAATAAAATTACAATAAAATACACAGATCTTAAGTGTTCAATTCAGTGAAGTGGTGAGGATATGGAGCAAATAGAACTCACACAGTACTAATGGGAGTGTAAAATGATGCAGCCACTTGGGAGAACTGTTTGGCAATTTCTTTTAAAGTTAAACATACATCTACCCTGTGACTCAGCAATTCCACTCCTGGGTATTTACCCAAGAGAAATGGAAAGGTGTCTCCACAAAAAGACTTGTATAAGAATGTATGTATTTGTGATAGCCCAAAACTGGAAACAACCCAAATGTTCATCAACAAGAGAATGGATAAATTGTGGTGTATTCATAACAGAATACTACTCAGCAGTTAAAGAAATTGTTACAAACAATATAGGTGAATCTCAAAAACATTATGTTAAGTGCAAGAAGCCTGACACAAGAGTTCATACCATATGATTCCATGTATATGAAGTCCAAGAACAGAGAAGACTAATCTATAGTGACAGAGCACAGAAAGTGATTTGTATTAATTTTCTACTGCTTTCATAAATTACCACAAACTTGGTGGCTTAACACAAACTTATTATCTTACAGTTCTGTAGATCAGAAGTCTAGTGTGGGTCTCACTGGGCTAAAATCAAGATGCTGCATGGGCCGGCCCCGTGGCTTGGTAGTTAAGTGAGCGCACTCCACTGCTGGTGACCCGGGTTCGGATCCCGGGCTCGCACCGACGTGCTGCTTCTCTGGCCATGCTGAGGCCGCGTCCCACATACAGCAACTAGAAGGATGTGCAACTATGACACACAACTATCTACTGGGGCTTTGGGGGGAAAAAAAAAAAAAAAAAAATCTTTAAAAAAAAAAAAAAAAGATGCTGCAGGGCTGCATTTCTTTCTGGAGGCTCTAGGGGAGAATCCATTGCTTTGCTCAATTCAGGCTCTTGGCTGAATTCAGTCCTTGTGGTTGTAGGACTGAGGTTCCTGTTTCTTTGCTGGTGTTCCCAGCAGGTGGTGCTTAAGGCCAGTTGCATTCCTTGGCTTGTGGCACCAGGCCACAACAATGGGTCTTCCTCCATCTTCAAAGCCAGTAACAATGGGTCATG